GGGTCAGGAGGAAAAAAAAAGTCGGCTCCTATTAGGAGCGGCTCCCTATTAGGACCCGGCTCCCGTCGTTCACTTCAAAGAGCCGGCTCTACCGGTTCGTTCGCGAACGACACATGCATACAATGCATGTGTGTGCAGTCGACGAGGAAAAAGATCAACGCAAAGCTCACACGTTCGATTGTTATTGAGTCCGAGAAGAGCTGAACACCGACCACTTCTTCCATACCTGCGACAATCGGGATTAGGAGACAGTCTTGTGCAGAGAGCACTTTATTGACTGTAATCCGCACAAATCCCGGCGCTAATGTACGAGGCATCGCTTTATTTTCGCATTCGTGTCAACGTCAGAGTTGAATTCTGGAAATAAATTCATCAAATGTGAGATGGTAGCATGTTGTTGGCTGTCAGTGTTTATTAAATAAGATTAACCCTGAATTCTAACTGCGTTCAAACCAGCCTCCACTCGCAAAATTGAAATCAAGTGAGCCGCCACTGCGATTGTCAATGCTCTGCACTACGGTAATCTGCCGCCAGCGAGTGGCGTTAGCCACCTTCAAAATAAAAGCGCATCCACTAATGCATAAACGTCATTTGTTTGGTTAAAAGAAATTAATAAAAATACAAAATAAGTACTTTATTGTTTTATTATTTATTGAACATATAGAACATACAATACAATAACAGATTGACAAAAGTGAAGGCAAGTAAAAATTATAAAAAGAAAAAAAAGAAAAATAAAGAAAGACATCATCACAGTTTTATGTTCAAAGGAGTAGGAAGAAGTAAATAACTTATCTAGTCCTACCCCTTGTTATGTAACAGTATATGAATTGATCTTTTTTCAATACAAAAAGAAAAAATCTACATATCATCAAATACTTTTACCCTTATGTGTACTGTACTAATCTATTTATACACATTTCGGTTTGTATATATATACTCATTCTTTCTCCTTTATATATCAATTTTCTCATATTCATTGTAAATACTGCATTCTTTAATATATTTAATAAATTGATCAATGTAATTCCGTTGAATTAATATATTTTATAAGAATATCAAATTTATTTTCTTCACTCTGATTTGTGTAGTTTTTTTGTATCAATCTTTTGAATTTGTTTTTGAACTCAACGAGCGATTTACTTATCTTCAGGTCCGTTTCGAAATTATTCCACAGATTGACACCTATTACTGATACACACCTTTGCTTGATGTTTGTTCTTGTTTTGGATTTTTTGAATTGGTTGGTACCCCTTAAATTATAACTATCTCTAATTTCAAAAAGCTTCTGGCTTTCTTGGCTGTCGGGTAAAGATTCACAGAGGAAGAACAAGAACTCCCAGAACAGCAACAATAAGCGTTCTCAAGTGGAGATAGAAAATAAAGTAAATGGTAATTCTACATCAATTTCACTCGATATTAAAAAAAAAAAATCATTAAAACAATCAATCTGGGTGATTGCGCAACCACACCAGGTTGTCGACACACTAGGGCAGGGGTCCCCAACCGCCGGTCCGCGGACCGGTACCGCTCCGCCGGGCATTTGGTACCGGGCCGCACAGAAAGAACTTGCCTTAATTCAGTTTTATTTCGGAATACGAAAGATGTTTTATTTTGAAAAACTACCGGATTCTCCGTTACATCCGTCTGTGTCACGCTTGACACACGTCAAGCCACGCTTCTCCATCACGTGACCGACTACTTCAAAACAAAACGCAGAAGCTCCCAAAATGAGTAAAAAAACTGCTGGAGATCGCAAATCACGGCGGCCTTAAAAGTACGTTCGAGACAACTGGATGAAAGTTATGGCTGAATTCTCTGAGATCGCCACAATAGCACTGTTGCTATTTCCGACACCCTACCTGTGTGAGGCGGGGGGTTTCTGCAGCAACGGCGACGAAAACAAAATTACGAAGTAGACTGGACATAAACCACACACTTGAGGTGTCATTGTCTCCTTTTACCCCGAGATGGGACCGTCTGATTGCAGAAAATCAAGCTCGGGGCTGTGGTGAGTCGTCATTTTCATGCACTTTGAATTTGCGTTGTATCGGACACACTAAGGCATGCCAGGTATACACCCACAGTACTGGCATTCAGATCGAATGTTCCATTACCAATTAAAATGCCTCTCAAATATGACATTTTGAGCTCCTCTCCTTATTTCAAAAGATTCTTAAAAATGAATTTCAGTTATCCCTCAATCAAACCAGGCGTGTGGGACACTAGAGCACTCCAGGTATCCAACCAGACCACCCTCATTCGGATCTGATGTCGGCCTCTGGAAAGTGACAAGATGGCCTGCATTCTGACATGTTGATCTTTTCGCCCATTTTTAGAACATCCTAAAAGAAGGAATCCAGCACCCCGGCTCTCCACCCAGACCACCCTCGTCCGGATCCAATGTTGCATTTTGAAATAAAAGGCCTCTGAAAACTGGCATGTTGACCTGATTTCTGACAAGTTGGCCTGTAGGTCTGGGGATAACTACAGCACTTCGGCTATCCAACCCGACCACTGTCGTTCGAATCTGATGTTGCATTTGGGAATAAAAGGCCTCCGAAAAGGGAAAATATGATCTTATTCCCGACAAGTTGGCCTGAGCGCCAAACATGTTGACATTTTAAACCGTTTTCAAAAAATTCCTAAAAATTGAACCTTCGTTATCCCGTGAGGGCTGTAGGTGTAGAAGTAACTACAGCCCTCCGGCGATCCAACCCGACCACTCTGGTCCGAATCTGATGTTGCATTTTGGAATAAAAGGCCTCCGAACAGTGAAAATATGACTTTATTCCCGACAAGTTGGCCTGAACGCCAAACATGTTGACATTTTAAGCCGTTTTGAAAAAATTCCTAAAAATTGAATCTTCGTTATCCCGTGAAGGCTGTAGGTCAGGGTATAACTACAGCACCCCGGCTATCCAACCCAACCACTCTTGTTCGAATCCGATGCTGCATTTTGGAATAAAAGGCCTCCGAAAAGGGAAAATATGACCTTATAATAGTAAGGGGAATAATGACCTGATAATAATAAAGGCATATTTTGTCAATTCAGAGGCCTTTTAATCCCAAATGCAACATCAGATTCGGACCAGAGTTGTCGGGTTGGATAGCGGAAGTGCTGTAGGTATCCCCTGACCTACAGCCCTCACGGGATAACGAAGGTTCAATTTTTAGGAATTTTTTCAAAACGGTTTTAAATGTCAACATGTTGGCGTTCAGGCCAACTTGTCGGGAATAAGGGCATATTTTCCCTTTTCGGATGCCTTTTATTCCCAAATGCAACATCGGATTCGAACAAGCGTGGTCGGGTTGGATAGCCGGGGTGCTGTAGTTATCCCCTGACCTACAGCCCTCACGGGATAACGAACATTCTATTTTTAGGAATTTTCCTAAAACGGTCGAAAATGTCAACATGTTTTCAGATCAACTTTTTTATCTCCATTTGAGAACGCTTTTTTGTGCTGTTCTGAGAGTTCTTGTTCTTCCCCGGTGAACGTATCGTTAGCTGACAGCCAAGAAAGTACTTATTTTATATTTTAATTAATTTCTTTTCACCCAAACAAATGACGTTTATGCGTTAGAGGAGGCACTTTTATTTTGAAGGTGGCCAACGCCACTCGCTGGCGGCAGATTACCGTAATGCACAGTATTGAAAATCGCAGTGGCGGCTCACTTGACTTCAATTTTGCGAGTGGAGGCTGGTTTGACCGCGGTGAATTCTAAAGCTCGGTTTTGCAGAAATGAAATGCGCATGTCGTCTAATATCTCTAGCCTTTTTTTGAGTGGGGGAGACTTTACCCTGCCACTTTCAGAACTGTGTAAACTAGGGCAAAAAACGGTTACTATTGCTGCCAAAAAAGCATTTACCTGTCGTATATTGTGAGCGCTGACGGCCAGCTGGTAAATGATAGGTTGGAGGCACAAGAGTCACGTGACCAAGAAATCCTAAAGTATACTGTACTGTACTTAAGGGACTCGTCTCTTCTGGTCGCACACTAATTTGATCACGGTCTCTTGTCGCTCATGTGAGCTCAGCAGCGTTGGCAGCCATTGCCTCATTTTTTTTTGCCAAACTTGTCGAAGCTCGATTGCCTACTACGGCAAGTCGTTTGAGCATTTTGATATTAGTGCGCGGATCGAAATGTTCATTGAAACAGTAAGAATTTGAGGTTAATAAAACCACCAATAATTTTAAAAGAAAGACAATTTATTTTAAGAGTTTTGTCATTTCTTTCGAGTAAAAATTAGAAAGGAACCTTCATAGAATTTAATTCGTCCAGCTCAGAAATCTGCTAAACTGTCCACTTTACGAGATATTTCAATTGTCATATGATATAGTTTTCTGTATCTGATTCTGTTACAGATTTTTCAGCACCTGAAAGATACATCTGTAAGCTTATGTTAAATTATCAATTCTTTTCATTTTATATTTGAGCATTCTATTCTTTTATGTTAGAGTTATCTAAATTATATTCTGTTTAATAATTGTTGAAACATTTTTCTGTTGCTTGCGTCTGATTGGCTAAAGAGAAGCAGGAAGTGTTTTCGTGACTGAAAGGGGGTTGTGTTCTCGTTTCATCCGTTCGGAAATGCAGTCGTTTTTTTTTTTTTTTTTTTTTTTCTCCTTTTAATAAGCTGCATCAAAGGATTCCATCTCTCCATCTGTCATTCGTAAAGAAGAGCCATCCACTGAAAAACCTACGAACCCCTCGACTTACATTGGTGGCAACGGTGTTGGTATGTTTTGTGTGGCTTTTTGACTCATTTTATGCAACGATTTTTTTTCTTGCTAATTGTCATCTTGCTAGCCACGTGGATTTTTTTCGCTCTACTGAATGGCTGCTGCTAGTCAGTATTTTGGATGAGATTTTGAGGTTTCCTGCAGTTTTATATTTTTTTTCCCTACCTTCTTTTTGGATATTATTACCGTCATTGTTCAACCTTTTTGAGTTCACCATGTCCATTTGTCAACCAACTGAGATGGCTCATTCTGCTACTACTTCTGTGGCTGCTGCAAATGTTACTCCACCTGGACGCCTCAACGTTGATTCATCACCAGTTTTTAAAGGAGAGTGGGACGACTGCCTCAATCAGGCGGCTCTGGCCTGTAACACCAGCTCTCACTCCTCCACGGGATTCACCCGCTTTTTCCTGACACATGGTCGAAAGGCACGGATGCCCGCTGATGTCCTGTTCCTCTCTAATGTCCAGTCGTCAATCTCCACACACTCCAGCTGACAAGACAATGCAAGTGACCCCAAAGCTGCAATCTGCCTTCAGATCTGCTGCTGTGGACAGAAGGTCTACAGCTCTGCCTGCAGCATTGGCCTCAAGTCCCAGTTCCTTTACACGCCCAGGCCACCGCCATGTTAATTTCAAAGACTTTGTTCTGACATGTTGCTGATGCCGCCCACCCCCCTGGATAATGTTGTTAATTTGTTATAACCTGGATTTTACAGTTCAGTTATCAAATTAGAAATGAGGACATTTCTCTAGTGGGAGGGGGAAGAATGTAAGCTTATGTTTAATTATCAATTCTTTTCATTTTATATTTGAGCATTCTATTCTTTTATGTTATAGTTATCTAAATTATATTCTGTTTAATAATTGTTGAAACATTTTTCTGTTGCTTGCGTCTGATTGGCTAAAGAGAAGCAGGAAGTGTTTTCGTGACTGAAAGTGGGTTGTGTTCTCGTTCATCCGTTCGGAGGTGCAGTCGTTTTTTTTTTTTTTTTATTACTCCTTTTAATAAACTGCATTAAAGGATTCCATCTCTCCATCTGTCATTCGTAAAGAAGAGCCATCCACTGAAAAACCTACGAACCCCTCGACTTACACATCTTTTACAGATTTTGATCCTTGACAATGAAATCAAGCACAATTATATTGTAATAATTATTTGTGTATTGCAAATCTTAATTATCGACTTTTTAGTCACTCTGGGCTAGGATACTTGCCAGCTGCGTAAGCGGCTATTGAATGAGTCGAGTTAAAAAAAAATTATATCACGAAAGAACACTGAATATAATAGTGTCTTTTACCCCTTGATAATATGACTTGGCCTACTAGGATTTCCTTGGTGACACTCCATTAGAGTTGAAAGCACCTTCGGTCTGTGATAAGAAAATGCTGAACAATTACAAGGTAGACATCAACAAAATCTGTCAGATTTGAAATGTATTTTATCTGTTATGTTTGATTCGACTTTAAATTGCAGGAGTAAAAGCAAGAATTAAAAAAAAAAAACATAGTCTCCCATATGAAAATCCCATGATCTACCTGGACTATTTTGACATCAAGACAGAGGTAAAAGAGAAAAGGCCATTAGGTGGTGCTCAAGAGCTAGTTTTATATAAAGTATATTATAATATACCGGTACTTATATATTTTAATGTCTTGATAATTTTTAAGACATTTTAGAGTGTAAATTGGGTGTAAACGTTTACATTTCCACTTACTTTTAATTTATTACTGATACATGTAAATGGGCTGAAGTGTGAAGAAGGAGTTTGTCAGCATGAACAAATATTCAAGAATAATCCATCAATTTTCCGATCCGCTTTATCCCCACAAAGATCGCAGGGGGTGCTGGAGTCTATCCCACCTGTCTTTGGGCTGTAGGTGGAGGACACCCTGAACCGGTTGCCAGCCAATCGCAGAGCACACACAGACGAAGAACCATTTGTGTTCACACTCACGCCTAGGGATATTTTAGAGTGTTTCATTAACCTGCCACGCATGTTTTTGGAATGTGAGAGGAAACCAGAGAACCTAGAGAAAACCCACGCAGGCCCAGGGAGAACATGCAAACTCCACACAGGGAGGCCGGAGCTGGAATCGAACCCTACACCTCTGCACTGTGAGGTCGCAAACCACTGGGCCGCCCTCAAGAATAATCATGAAAAAAATAAAATAAAATAGAAAGTATACTGCTCGCACGTGCCACCACATGAAAAATCTATTCTTATAAATTTATTATTGTGTGGATTCTTGTTCTTGGGTTTCAGACACCTTTTCTGTTTCCTGATTTGTCTTCGATCTTTCTTGATTATTTTTTGGACTTTTCTCTCTGTCTTGATGGAGACATGTTGGATGAGGCTTTTGGCATTTCTCACAAATGCTTCTGGGAGTACAGTTTTTGGAATTGTGACTGGAGTTGAGACAGCCAAAAGTTTTTTTTAGACTGCACAAACTTGACTCTTGACAAAAAAGACATTTGACATTTGCCTTTTCATTGGACTGAGTGGCATGTTGTTCCTTCTTGTCTTGTCTTTGAACTGATACTTATCTGGTTCAGTTGGTTTCATTGCATGCAACGAAGCGATTGCATTACATGCAATTTTTGCTTCTTTATTCAGAAATTTGACAAAATAACTGAAATCAGGGAACATTTTGTGTTCATCTTGGAACTCAGGCACTTTTCTGTTTCAGTGTGCACTGAGCCAGTCAGCTAACTTTGGTGCTATTCTCTGATTTTCTACGCAGTCATTCAACACTTGTAAACCTTGATTCAACACTATTTAAGTCTGCATACTCATGTAGATCTTTACTGTATTTGGGTCTGATTTTATGCCATGATTGAATGTTGTCTCTATGACTATGACTTGCCAATCACAAAGGAATCTCCAAACCTGTCATTGAGAATTTCCTAGGCAACAGAATGTGACTGTGTCTGTTCCAAACAAAAAGTGTCCCTGCTATAACGATCTGAGCTGAACATTCAACATACTTTTGCTTCAGCCAATGTCTTGACAAGCTCAATGGAGGTTGCTCCATTTGCATTTGAGATCGCCATTTTAGGCATAGATGCTTGATGGGGTACAGATTGTCTTGTGAGCGCTGCAATGTGAGAAGGGGCAAATGATTTAGAATGCTTGGTTGTGGGAGTGAACTATCTTGCCTTACTTTGGAAGATGAAACAGGAGTCTTTTCTTCATCTTTGCTGCTAAAACTCTCGCCGTCTAGTGCTTATGCTGCATTGTGCTATGGCATTTATTTTAATAGGTCCACTTATTTTCTCTTTTCCTTGAACTTAGTCTTTATTGTGCTGCTCTTTTCTTTACCTCCTCAAATTCAAGTTCTCTTATTTCTTCCTCACATTGATGTTGCGTTTTCATTATTTTAATGACTTATACAGAAGCTACTACTTCAGCTGCAGCTCGTCTTTGTTGTCGTGTAACTACAGATGCCTGTTGGGATATTCTAGACGGAGACTTTGACCTGTCATTTTAGAGGAAACGCAAGAACTACTTTCAAACATTGACTCTAAGAGTCAGGCCAGGGAATGCCATCTTGGTCACCATTTTCTTCCAAAAGACACCGAGCTCTGCTTTCAAAGCAGTGCTTTGGCGGCTTCATTGATAGCCCAGCACACGTCACGTTTTCTTTTATTTTGACATGAGGACTTTCAAACCTTCTGACCTCACCATTTAATAGATATCAGTCATTCGAGCGCTGATGGCACTCACAGCTTCCGGGATCAAATCAGTGTCCATGCATTTAATCATTCTTTTAAAACCAGTGGTGTCAAACATACGGCCCGCGGGCCGGATCCGGCCCGCAAAGGAGTTTAATCCGGCCCGCGAGGTGATTATGTAAAGCAGGGTTGTCAAACATACGACCCGCGGGCCGGAACCGGCCCGCAAGGAGGTTCAATCAGGCCCGCAGGATAATTTAAAAGTGAAAAAAATGCATTATTAAAGACACAGAATTAATATTTTTAATTAGGTGCAATTCATTGAGTATCCGCAAGGGGACACTGTTTTGATCAGAGAAGAAGACAACAGCAGCCTCAGTCCGTCACTGAGACAGACCCATGACAGCAGACGCTTTCAATAGCACTTTCACATTTACACATTTAATAGCACTCTCCTTAGTTTGTAAGGTGTAGGCAGGGATTACCTTTAGATTTTATATGCATGTGTACATGGTTTAAAACTTCCTTTCTTCATAAATCTTGTTTAATCTTAAAGTGCATTACTGTATTTTTCAATACCAATTACTTGTTAAAGTTTGTACAATCAGTGGGATCAGTTGCAATGCATATATGTGAATGATAAAAGTAAATTGCACATTTGTCGAAGGAAATG